CAGCTTTCTTTTCTGAATTACGTATTTCCTTTTATCAAGGTTTATATTCTTATATTCTTTTAACCAAGCACAAGAGGTACGATGCTGTAAAACATCTGTAAGTTACCATGTAAACACTAATTTAAACTGCCTTTGTCAATGTAAGATAACATTAACTTTAGCCAGTCCTATACTAGAATGTATATCTATTCTCCTAAACTTGCCATTGGCAACATAACGCTAATGGAGCAGGAAAAAAACGAATTAAAGCCGTTTTGTTTGTGTCGAATTACTCATCTTCAGTGTTCTGTTTAGTGTTTTGTGGACTGTTTGTTTTTTGTCGAGTTTTTGTTTTAACTTAAGGTTTTGATTTCGCCCTAGGTGTCTTTTTCTTCTCTTTTTTAATCATACAAAGAACATCCCTCGTCCATCAAATAAATTTTATTTTACATTTCAGAACAAATAACCAACATAAACATAACCTTACACAATATTATTACTCAAACTGTGTTGATAGTTTTTCAATTATGTTATTATATTCATTTTGTTGGGAATTTTATTGAAAAAACGATTACACCTCTTTAAATATGTTAACATTTTATGGATTTTATCGATAGTTATAGTGCCTGATTTATTTGTCAGGATTGTTTTTTTTTTTTTTTTTTTTCTATGTACAAAATATTTCACAAAAGATGAAAGGGTTCAGTTAGGTTCATGTGTTTAATTTGTTTTTTTAATATTCATAAAAATGCCATAATGCAAGCTAGATCTGCTAAAAAGAATATACGATGTAGACGTCAGTGGGTAAAAACTCTTCAAAGATACCAGGCTTATATTTTGGTACGCCAAGCGCGTGTTTCGTCTACATTATCAGTAGCGCTCCAATCAACACAAAATCAAATACACAATGTACAAGTTGAAGTGCATTAACTACCAAAAATTCCTAAAGTTTATGCCACATACAACCTGAAAATCGTCAATCACACACCTACAACAAGCCAAACAATCCACAATGACTAACAATGACTCATACTATGCTGAGTTACTTCTTAATCGCCAATTTTGAAAAGGATGTGAATAAATCCGATAGAAAAAGATAGCAGACATGACCCTACTGTATTAGATCAAGGGGTGGAGCTTCGTATGAGGTTTTGGGCAGTTATGACTTAACAAGCCTCCTGTTTAACTTGATCTGAAAGAATGAATGAATAAATGAATGAATGAAGGTCAACATGCATTCAAAAACTACTTTAGACCATGAGCACACGGGTTTCTAATCCTATCTACTCTCTTCATGACAAGCATGGTGTTGTTCCAGCAGATAAAGCATCTAGCAAAATTGTTTTGATATGCAGAAATCATTATCAGGAACATATTAAACGATCTTGGGATTCACAGCAAGTCCGGGAATCCGATATATCCCCCTACAGCATTCACAAAAGAGGATATTTGAGAAAATCCTGAATCCGTCCAACTCCCATTTTGCACTTACATTAAAAACGACGATGAAAATCTTCCATCTTTATATTGGATACCTTAACTTCACAACGATATATACCCGGGTCGTCTAGACGCTCCACTTAAGATCTTCCTAATGTTTTACTACTATTTTTTCTTCAGTCAACTTAGTTTAGATGGGTAACACGACAGTTGTGACATGTGGAGAAGGATCTGTTAACCCTTCTCAGTATTTTGTATGTTGTGTTTTGTAGACTGTTGTTTATCTTTTCGTCATTTTTCGTTATTTGCATTGACGTTGTCAGTTTCTTTTCGACTTATGAGTTTGAATACTGTGGATTCATTTATTTTCGTGGGTACCAATTTTCGTGGATTAGGGAAAACTTGCATGTTCGTGGATATTTAATTTCGTGGTTTTGCTGAAGTCTGTATACAAGCCTATAGAAAATTTATCATTCGTTGAACATTTAATTTCGTGGTTCATCTGTACCAACGAAATCCACGAAAATTGGTATCCAACGAATATAAATAAATCCACAGTATCCTTATAGTATCTCCCGCTTTTCTTTCATAGACCGACTTCAAAAATATTATGATAAAGTATATTCAATATTCTACTACCTTCACTACTATTCACTATGCTGAGGCATTGCTCTGTTGAAAAGAGGGACATTCAAACTCAAAAGTCGAAAATAAACTGACAACGCCATAGCAAAAAAAAAACCAAAAGGACCAAAATATAAACAATAGTATATAAAACAAAACATAGAAAACTAAAGATTAAGCAATACGAACCCCACCAACAACCGGGGGTTGATCTCAGGTGCTACAGAAGGGTAGGCAGTTCCTGCTCCACATGTAGCATCCGCCATGTTGCTCATGTCAGTACACATCCGATGATAGGTCTACTTCGAAGGTCACATGCGGGGAACAGGAGGATAGTGGTTACGACGAAATGGAACATATTCGTCGTCATCTGTGAAACAGATATTCCATAACGGTCAACCGTGATGGCGTCTGTAAAATTTTCGAAGGGATGATTTCAACTTCACCACTTGGAACTTTTGGTTTAATAGCTTCCTTGTGAGCAGCAACCCTCTATCATGGAAATCATGATAGGAAACGCAAGCCCTGGAAAATCATATCAACTAGGAGATATATACTTCATATGCAGGCGCTGATGGAATGTTGCTACATAGAAATGGAAAGTACACAAGTGGGAAGCTAAAAACATTTCTTTGTCGTAAAGGTGTGTTCTCAACCGACCCTCATTGTCAACGTCTAAAAGTAAGTCAAGATATGAGGCAGACTTTACTGTATATGTTGTATCTTTTAGATTTTGGGATAGATATATATAGTCAGCAAAATTGATAAGTGAGAGTACTAGTACATCATCTATATAGCGGAAAGTTAAGTTAAAGGATAATAGTAGCTTCGTTTTATTCTCACTAAGAAGCTGCTGTATGAATTAACCCTCATATGAATAAAGGAACAAGTGGGCAAGAAGATGAGCACAGTTGGTTCCCATGGAAATACCGATTGTTTGCTGAAAAACACGTCCTCCAAACGTAACAAATATGAATATATCCAGAACGCAATCATCTTGATAATGCCAGTTTCCGTTTTTTTTTTTGGTTAGAATCAGAGTTATTTTTTTGCAAAGTACGATTTATCCCTCCCTATGATAGGACAATTGTATCTACGTTCGCCATTCTTTTTTATGAAACAAAGCCTGACCCCACTCATTCAATTTGTCTATTAGTTTGAAATGGGGACTACTTGTGTAAAGTGTAGAAGAGTCATATGCTTAACATTATTGCAAGAAATGCAAGTCTAAGATTGTATGTACTCTAACTGAACTTTGGAATTTTTTTCTGATTCACGTTTCTAGAATAAGTAGTTTTATAATAACTTTGAAGCCCGAATTTGATTGATGATAAAACTTATGTTAATAATTTAGAAAGAGGTTTCATGGAGCAATCGGAAGACCCAGCAATATAACGTTGTTTGTTTATCTTTGGTTGAAATGCCAAAGGATCATAGATCAGACGTATGATTATCTAGGATTCCTCCTTGGTAAGGGTCGTGAGGGTATATGTTGAGTTTTCAAGTGAATTGTCAATACCTAATTCATTTAAGCAGTTTATGTAATGTGATTTACACACAAAAACGATGTTGTTTTGGGATTTCTCTGCGGGACAAAAACATGTTTGTCATGATGGTATGACAGGTGCTTTGCAACATTTGTGTCTGTAAAAATTGATGTAGAATGTGTATTCATAGACCCATTCAGTCTTTTAACTCTGATTTGTATCAACGACCTCACAGCCTTAATCCATTCGGAAAGAGTATCTACGTCTTCTTTCTCGTGTTAAACCCAGTGCATGGCATAATTCTTCATATCTAAACAATATCGAAATATTGACTATATCATCTCGGTGTTCGTCGTTATTTGTGTTTTCAGTGTAGTGTTTTATTGACAGTCGATTGTCAGTTGGCCGTTTTTCCTCAGGTGATTGTGATATCCCTTTCTCTTTGATTTACTAGGTTTTGTTATGCCACCTTGATATCTTCGCTACTTTTAATTGACTTTCTAGCATAGATAGCATTGATAAAGCGACTAAAACGGTACAGATATCAATAGAATTTTAAATGACGGTCTAGCATAGATAGCATTGATAAAGCGACTAAAACGGTACAGATATCAATAGAATTTTAAGTGACGGTCTAGCATAGATAGCATTGATAAAGCGACTAAAACGGTACAGATATCAATAGAATTTTAAGTGACGGTCTAGCATAGATAGCATTGATAAAGCGATTTAAACGGTACAGATATCAATATAATTTTAAGTGACGGTCTAGCATAGATAGCATTGATAAAGCGATTAAAACGGTACAGATATCAATAGAATTTTAAGTGACGGTCTAGCATAGATAGCATTGATAAAGCGACTAAAACGGTACAGATATCAATAGAATTTTAAGTGACGGTCTAGCATAGATAGCATTGATAAAGCGACTAAAACGGTACAGATATCAATAGAATTTTAAGTGACGGTCTAGCATAGATAGCATTGATAAAGCGACTAAAACGGTACAGATATCAATAGAATTTTAAGTGACGGTCTAGTATAGATAGCATTGATAAAGCGACTAAAACGGTACAGATATCAATAGAATTTTAATTGACTTTCTAGCATAGATAGCATTGATAAAGTGATTAAAACGGTACAGATATCAATAGAATTTTAAGTGACGGTCTAGCATAGATAGCATTGATAAAGTGATTAAAACGGTACAGATATCAATAGAATTTTAATTAACGGTCTAACATAGATAGCATTGATAAAGTGTTTAAAACGGTACAGATATCAATAGAATTTTTATTAACGGTCTAACATAGATAGCATTGATAAAGTGACCTAAAGGGTACAGATATCAATAGAATGGAGAAGTGTGGTAAATTCAATGACACATAAAAACAACAAAATAAAACATTTAGAGGTCAAACTACGGTCCTTCGATCAAAGCTTTTATCATCAGAGAGAACAATCAAAATCTGCATGTTCATGTATTGGCATACAATGCGGATCTTTTTTTTATATATATGATGTCGTATACCTTTTTTTACTACATGTATTTTTAATTTTCTTAATTTTTTTCAGAGTAAAATGAAAATATGTCAACTATTTATTATTCTATGCTTTTGTGATGCTCTTGTGGTACCATCAACACGTCAAATGCCAACACCTTACTTTTCCTTAGGTAAAATTATACGTGTAAGAAAATAGACCATACTGGACACTTTTTCCATCTAAACCTTACATACTTATAGGGATTTCGATATGCTCACTAATCAGGGTGCGAAACATCTAAAAACGATATATAATTAAGTGATTTTTAAACGGGTATTCATCATGTTCATGACATTCAGAAAAATTGCAAAGTAAAAGAAAATAGATTTGAATTTTTTTTTAAAATGAAGTGTTGTTTTTAACTTATTCATTGTTAGCTGTTAGACATTACAGTGAATGAAAATAAACTCATCGCAGATACCAGGATCAAACTTATGTTCGCCATACGCGCGATAAAATGATCAACGAATATTTTATTCAAGTTGCCAAGTTTATAGTATAGTGTATTTTATTCCAGTTGACTGCACGTTTATAGTAATGTGTGTTAAAAAACCAACTTGACTGTACATTTAATTCATAATATATGTTATTCTTTTTTACTGTAAGTTTATAGAATAATGGCTGTTATTCCATTGGACTGTACGTTTATAGTATAATGTATGTTATTTCATTTGACTGTGAGTTTATGATATACTGTATCTTATTCCAGCTGACTGTATGTTTACAGTAAAATGTATGTAATTCCATTTGACTGTGAGTTGAAATAAGCTCATTATAGATACCAGGATTAAAATTATGTACACCAGACACGCGTTAAAATGATCAACGAATATTTTATTCCATTTGACTGTACGTTTATAGTATAATGTATGTCATTCCATTTGACTGTACGTTTATAGTTTAATGTAAGTTGTCCATTTGACTGTACGTTTATACTATAATGTATGTTATTCCATTTGAATGTACGGTTATGGTATAATGTATGTCATTCCATTTGACTGTATGGTTATGGTATAATGTATGTTATTCCATTTGACTGTACGGTTATGGTATAATGTATGTCATTCCATTTGACTGTACGGTTATGGTATAATGTATGTCATTCCATTTGACTGTACGGTTTTGGTATAATGTATGTCATTCCATTTGACTGTACGGTTATGGTATAATGTATGTCATTCCATTTGACTGTATGGTTATGGTATAATGTGTCATTCCATTTGACTGTATGGTTATGGTATAATGTATGTCATTCCATTTGACTGTACGGTTATGGTATAATACATGTTATTCCATTTGACTGTACGTTTATATTATGACGTATTTTATTCAGATCAAGTTGATGAATTGTCTTTGCTACTCACCACAGTCATTGCCTCTAATATTATCACAAACATACAGTCAGCAAACAAGACTGCTGCACAGTCCTTGGTGATGTCCTCTTGGACTATAATGACGATGACCATGATGATGATGATGATGATGTCCCCGGGAATGGTGCCAATGATGGTTTCAATGATGGCGACGTCCAGTGTGTTACTGGCCATAGGGGTCATGGACCATAGTAAGCACGCTTTAAAATACTTCAATTTCGTTTCGTTTGATACAAAACTGCTACACTTTTATAAAGCCAAACAATTTCTTTTATGTAATTTTTTAAGAAGTCTGTGAATTTCTGACGATAGCTTGTACTCGATGATAAGAGTAAAAGCAAACATAATGATACAAATTTGAAATATATTTCCTTAAACATTTGATGTTATTATCTTTTTAGGGGGTTGTCAAAAGCGGTTTAAAGTATGGCCTGGAAATACTAACTAGTCAATATATCATGTCCCAGATATAGCTGACGGCGATAAGTGGTTAATTAAATCCTCCCCAGATCCCTAAAACTTTATAGAATGGTACCAATGGTGTAATCGAAACTTACAGTTTTTTCATTGTTGCTTAGAATATTGTTTGTTTTTAGACAATGAAGATGTGGTGTATTATCAATTTATAAAACAAAATCACTACACACACATGAAGAAAACTAAAAGCAGAGTAAAAACACTTTAATTGATAGCTTTCATCCTTTTGTTTGTTGACAATTCTTGAATTTTAATTTCAATATGTTGGCATACCTCAAAAAACACCATTACAGAAAAGATTTAGAGTTCATTCACTCAAAAGATTTCCCAGAATTTATGTCATCTTTCCGGCATCTGACAGGAAATTGAAATATCATGATAGCTGAGATGTTATCGTTGACTGCTTCAAGCTAACCTGGTCTGGATTTATAAGGCAATAAAGTTGTACTATGTTATTAATTTGTATTTATCGACAAAACGTTTCAATTTGCCTTTTTTCATTAATTCTATGAAGAATCCTGTCCATCTGATTGGTTTGTACACGAAGATTCGTGTTATTTCTTCAGTGAGATCACTAACAGTTTGACCTGGAACGGTGCTCAGGTGAGATTATAGAACATACAACATATTCTAAAATACACAAAAATGTTAAGTTGTTTCTGTTCGTTAGATTTGAGGACAATATTCCGAAGACAAATTAAAAAACATTTTTACTAAGGTGCACGTTTCGTTATTTGTATTTGTTTCTCCTATTTTAAGCTTAGGTCTCACTTTGAATATGCATAAAATATCTGCCGTCTCAAATTTCAATCACTCAAACTATTGTGTGGCAACCATATAATCGTAGTTTGTTTTTGTTTTTTTTCGTTTTTCATTAGTATCTTTCGACTGTTTTGTGACAAACTAATTATGAGAAAAACCAGCTGGGTCTTTTTGTGAGGGAAATATCATCAAAAGTTGGATCAGTATAGAGCATTGTGCAACCGAACTCAAATAAACCTGGGAGATGCATTTTAAAAACGTGTTATATCAATATATTTTTTTTTTTTTAATTTAAATTTAATCATCACCGATAAGGAAGAGAACTTGTACAATTTCAGTTGCTTTTGATCATTGTCCACCATTTCTAACTCTTGATAACTATGTAAATTTGCTCTTTCTATTTTTACAATGATATCAAGCATTCAATTTAATAGATCGCTGATTAGGATTTGCTGCTTTAAAAAAAACAATTTAAGCATGGTTTTTTTATAGTAAAATTGAGATCATCAGTTTTAACCACTGAAACGTTCAATTGCATGTTCATTATCTTAGTATAATACCTTAAAGGATCAAATGATACAAAGCAAGCAATAGAAAAATATTAAGACATCGTTAAAAGAAATACATTGTCATGCAAATAATAATCTATACAAAATATTTTACTTTGTATATATATATATAAATGTTTGCGGTATACCATCTTCTCCGCAAGTTTATTGTTTTCTGTTCGGTATTAAATTTATAATTAAGATCCATGTTACATCTGGTGATCAATTTATTTGGCAATTGCCAATGGCAGTCAGCAGGGTTCTAGAACATCCGTTGTTCGACCTGTTAGTCAAATGCGTTTTGTTATAATATACTTTTCCCTTTTTTTGGTCTTTTGGAAAATGTTGTTTGTGCTGTATTTAGACCCCTCTATCAAGAAATTTGTTTTACATGCACACGTATAAAAATTATTGTTTTTATCCAACGCAATCATCGGTTTGAACGTTGTTTTCAATTTAGACTTGTATATATAAATATATATTGGACTGTTATTCAGACGAATTGTATATACAGAATGTGTTTTCAGCCTTGTATCACCATCACTGGTAATCCGATGGATAAAATCTGTCGTAGAATTGTCACTGGTTCAGACGTACTTATATATATATATATATATATATATATGTAGGACTCTAAAGTGCGATGGTACTCTAAAGTGCGATGGTCACGCTAAAGTGCGATGGTCTACGCTAAAGTACGATGGTGTCTTACGCTAAAGTGCGATGGTTGTTTGTTTGCTAAAGTACGATGGTATTTCACGCTAAAGTGCGATGGAACAATAGGGTAAGGTTCGAGGGCTTAAAACATTCAGTAAAGTGCATGGATGTTAAAAACAAGTCTTTTTGCAAAAGCTAGTATGCTAAGGTATAACATATGTAATAGGCTTTATGATTGACCGGTAGGCTTTAAAGTGATTGTTTCTAAATTTAGAAGACCGACCACGTAATCATTGCTAAAAAAGTAATTTATGTGTCACAAAATACTGTATTTCTTGTTAAATGATTTTTTAACAATTTCTTTCGTATAAAATATTTGGATAATTGGTGTAGCTTGTCGCTGAATGATGCTTTTATGAATCTTTTATTAGGTAGATCTACATTGTAAGTCATTGTAAATTACAAATACAAAATGCGTTCATTGTCGGAATAAGTAAGTTAGCATTTATTGATACAAGACTTCAAGCTTAAATGCGAGAAAAATGGGATATTCGCCGAGCTTTCTCCTTTTTTTCACAAATACATGTCATATTATCCTACACTGAACAAGCTATGTTTTAGCCGACAATTTATAATTTACGCTTAAAAAACATGTACCTTTATTTTACCGACGTTACTTTTCAATAAAATCGACTGACAATATTTTAATGGGGACAGCAAAGTAAACTGCAACGTAAACAAATCATATGATTTAAATGTATCCGTTCGCTTCCAATAGAAGCAGGATACAGGATACCTATGCGTATACTATTTTGTATCTATATAGTAAAATGGTCGACTGCAGGACACAAGTCCTTCTTCCAGCAACCCAAAAAACACATTTGCTTCAGCCGACAAAGCACGGTTAGGTCTGAAATTAAGTCATGGACATATGATTTAAAAGTTGTTAATCAAATATTCTTAATTTATCTTCCGGCATATTCATTTTTGGTTTGTATAAACGACTGTTAACGTCATAATCCAACTACGTTTCTTACGTCTTTACTTTCGCGGACCATCGGACTTTAGCGTATGGAGGCATCGCACTTTAGCGCAGACCATCGCACTTTAGCGTGACCATTGCACTTTAGCGTCCCCATCGCACTTTAGAGTCCTACATATATATATATATATATGTGTGTGTGTGTGTGTGTGTTGATTTTTTTTTTATAATTATCTATATATTTAGGAGTACTGCAACGAGCGTGGTGCAAAATTAGCAGAACCTGAAACGCTGCAAGAAGGGAATGTGTTGAAAATGGAGGCAAACAACAAATACGGTGTCGTCGATAATGGTGTGTAGTCCACTTTAGTAATATTTTTTAAGGGTGTGCAAAGTAACAATAACATATAAAACAATGGCCTAAAAAACAAATTCATAACTGTAAATTTAAATCCGTCTACAAGATTTCAAAATAGAATATAATTTTTTCTTAGATTTTTCAAATGATATATTTCTTTGAGATAATGAATGTTAACCTGCGTGAGCTAAGAAGTAAAAATAACAAAAGGTCTAAGTGGACATTAAATACCTATTGGGTGTCAATAAATTGAGCATAATAAAATTAAGCTATACAGAAATATTCTTTAAAAGAAGTTACTTATTGCAAAATGTTTTCGATTAGGTCCTGATTAAAAGTTCAGTATGACTCTTAATAATTAGTCAGATTTCTTCAAATTACAACGATTTTTTTAGGGAATCAATAGAAACCAAACCAGTTTTTTTTTATTGATTTATGGATTAATTGTTGTTTGCTTGACATCCAGTGGCAAATATTTCTAAAAATAACAATTATTGTTTGATAGGTTCTATAAAGTGAGTCGACCGGGATGAAGGGCTATAATATCGACTGCCACTAAAAAATGGAAATCTTGGATAGGAGGGGAAAAGTTTGCCCAACAAATTGCCACCTACAGATCACTAAAAGAGATGTGGCAAGGATTCGTTGACGTGCAGAGAGCATGGCACTCTCTTTACGCGAGGCATCGGATTCAACGTCCCCTATTATAAAGATAAAGCAACGCGTTGCTGCTGGTGTGCGTTCCTATAGCAACGCACTGTTTTTTCTCGTACCCTGACGCAACGTGTGAAAGTTAGTTCACGTACCCTAAAGCAACGCGTAAAACAGTTAGATCTAGATCCCTAGAGCGACGGGTAATAGCCCATTCGCATAGAGCAATGCGTAACACCTATTGCACGTTTGAAGTTGTCCATGTTGTTCAGTCGGAATGAACGATATCCCTTAGAGATGTTTAAAATTCAGATCATGTCAGAGTCTGTTAGAGATGAAATGCTCTCTTCAGTTCTTTCATGGTGTTCATTATTGCAAGACATACGTATTCAAATATACTGTATTGCAGGGTATATATTGGAACCAAAATAATTGGTCATTTCATTAAATTATATTATATATACGTTTCTTATAAAGGATTTCATTAAAGATTCGATTCTGCTGTTGAAAATACGTGGGGTGCCATCTGTTCTGTCCTGGGCGCCGTTTTAATTGAATGTTACTTATCGCCAGCAAAAAACTCCATTTGCTACTGTCAAATCCCCAATTGACGACAGAAACTCTTCAACTACATAACTGTCAATCCTTTACTCTAGAACACGCAGGAGAAGTTACATGTAAATCAGTGGCCAAAGTTAATATCAGTTCCTTTGAAGGTTCTTAACAAACTTCGTAACTTAAGTGTTGCATGATGGGTAATTAGAAACGACAGCAGCAGAGGCCAAAATGTACATTCAAATCGTATGAGAAAATGAGCATTTGAATTGTACATTTAGGTAATGTAATTTTAAGTTTAAATTGTGTTCTGTTTAAGGAGATAACCCAATTTGAACCATGTTCCGTCGCTTGTATTACATGAATTATGCTTGCCATTTATGTGTTAATCTATCACATGTTATAGGTGAGGTCGATATTCCGGGCTCTCTTTTGAAATTCTTATCGCATTATTTACTTATAGGAGTATGGCTTGGAGGTAATGATATGGATACTGATGGAGTCTGGGAATGGAGTTCTACAAATACTCCGATATCAACTAGTGAGTCTGATTGGGACGTAGCTAATGGTAATCCAGGCAGTGAACCTTGTATGCTGCTTTATTTGGCTTCTGGTAATCGTTGGCGGGATGCTGCATGTGATGAGGAACACGCATTTATTTGCGAAAGAGGTGAACGTTTGTACTTTATTATTTTTTGTACTAGTTAAACCTTTGCACTCAAAAACACATGAACCAAATTGTTTAACTGTCAGGTTTGACGTAGATATACATCAGTGAAAGTCCGAAAAAAAATGTTCGAAATTTAAGAACACTAAGACCATAATAGATACAATTGATTAAAAGTGGTTGATAATAACAGTAAAAACTAAAAATATTTTAAAAGTCTTTGTACATTCTATTATCCGTTGCTTTACGATAGACTCTTTAATTATATTAATAAGAAAACAGAAAATAATCGAGACATTTATGAACACATGACAGAGAACATTCAGGTAAAATTGGCTATGAAACGGAAATATTATAATTCAAAATATCAGCATACATGCATGTATTTTATGTAATAAAGCCACAGACATCGTCGTTTATAACAAGAAAACTCAATAACTTTTAAAATCACAAGGAACAAGCACATTAACGACGGGACAAACAATATGTGCATTGAACAGTATTGTATTGCTGCTCTTTATCTTAACAGTTCTGGAAAACTCATCAAAGTTATCAGTGTCGAACTAATCCAAAAAGTTCACAAGCTAAATCAAATATGAAATGAAGAGCTTTGAAACCTTAAAATTCCAAAAACGTTGTGCCAAATTCGGTTTAGGCCATCTATGTCTGGGGTAGAAAATCTTAACGTTTCGAATGATCTAACCTTAAATAGTAAGTTTACACAAAATGACATTAGAGACATTTGTAGATGTCTTTGTAAGGTAAACTCGCTGTATTTTAAAAGGCAATAAGGTTTTCTAACCACCGCAGACGTGCTAACTGTTTGGTTGGTGATAACCATCGTTGCCGAAACGTTCACCAGCAGTGTCATGCCGGTGGTTGTACAGACTCATGAAAGATACCAGGCTTATTTTTTGGTACCTCGGAAAATCTTCAAAAATGAAATGTCACCTCAATTGATTTTAAAAACGCCTCATAACGTCAATTAAGCTGTACTCTAATATTCATCGTTAGTCGGTACATATATGGCTTAAATATAAAATTAAAGGTCAATATCAAATAGTATGTGTCACAAATATTAAAGTTTGAATATAATATACGTCAAATATTTATTTGAGTGAGTTACATTAATAATATTTTATTTCGTTTCACATAAAAAAAAAATTTTTTTGAAGAATAAAGATGAATAAAGTGGCACTCAGTAACACATGTATTATTTTCTATTTCAGTGTGATTTTTGACAGTTGAATTGAAGGTTTTTACTTTCAAACATGATGATATGTCAGTACTTATATTACCAAAAACACTTTGATGACGAGAACTACAAATTGTGTAAAATATGACTTTCTAGACTTTAAAACTTCAGAGATGTTTAACTTTGTATTGATTTAGTCGATCGACATATTTCACCAAAAATATATTGGCACATTATATGCATTGCGTTGTTTTTCTGATAAGTGACGGCCATTTTATCGGTGCGTAAAAAACGCAAGAAGAATAAATTGATTTCATACAGAAATTTTTCTTCGTTTCCCTTAAATTGGATAAAACAGATTTCAGGATAAATATATTAAAATAACTAAGCAGATACTGTATGATTGCCAATGAGACAACTATCTTCCAGAGACCAAATGACGTAAATTATATACGTACAAGTAAAGTCGCCGTATGGCCTTCAAAACACTACACAGAAAGGTTTTATTTATACATTGTTGTAATTCTTATTGACTTTTAAATGTTTTGTTTGTTTTGGGTGATTTTTTCAAGCAAACTATTTTGAAAGCTCAGAGGTATCAGTTGATTTCTATATCAACGTTTAATACTTTTTAATCAGTGCCCGTATTCTTTGATATGGTTTATTTTAATCACTGCCAGTACAATACAATACAATACAAATAGTTTATTTACGTCTCACCATTAATATTACAATACATAACATAATACACGAATACATAAAACAATATAAAATATCATTGCCATTCTAAAAAGAATTGTGAGAGACGGGATTAAAAATATATATATATATATATATATATATATTGAAAATTAATAATAATAAATATCAATGTACAGTTAGATTTAAAAAAAATCCTTAAAAATATTTATATTTACAGTTAAGACAAAATGTTTAACGGTATAAAAACGACGTCTTCTATCTAAAATAAATTTGCAGATTTTGGCACTATAAATAATAATACTGTCACAGTCACTGGCTAGAACAATAGACAATTTTTCCCGATTAGAAAAATTTAAAAAGTTTGAGTGTTCTGACAAAATAATTTTAAAAAGTTCGCAGGTCATCGTGCAACGGACACTCTAACAAGACATGTTCCTCAGTTTCAACAATTATTTTACAGGTTTCGCGAGTTCGTTGTTGCACGGGTAGCCTCTCAAATCGTCCAGTCTCTATGCGGATCGGTGCCAGTATTCTTTGATATGGTTTATTTTAATCAGTGCCAGTATTCTTTGATATGGTTATTTATAATCAGTGCCAGTATTCTTTGATATGGTTTATTTTAATCATTGCCAGTATTCTTTGATATGGTTTATTTTAATCACTGCGAGTATTCTTTGATATTGTTTATTTTAATCACTGCCAGTATTCTTTGATATGGTTTATTTTAATCACTGCGAGTATTCTTTGATATTGTTTATTTTAGTCAGTGCCAGTATTCTTTGATATGGTTTATTATGATCAGTGCCAGTATTCTTTTATATGGTTTATTTTAATCAGTGCCAGTATTCTTTGATATGGTTTATTTTTTTTTTTATTGTGACATCACCGAATTAGACATATTACAGAAATTGTTCTTGAAACAAGCAACACGACAGGTTCCACGTTTGGAGCAAGGTCGGATTACCATTCCGGAGTACCTGAAATCACCCACGAGTTTATGAGGTTCGTGTTGCCCTATCTTCAGTTTTCTGTGAAGTTTTTTGTAGACAATTGTTTGTGTTTTCGTCGTGTTTCGTTTTTTGTCATGGTTTTGTTTGTTTCTCTACGACTTTTGAGTCCTTTGTTAATGTGCTATCTCAATTCAGAAACCTTTAGTTTCTTGAAGGCTTCGTGCATGGACTTTTCTGTTGTGAACAAATTTTCAATAGTCTTTGTTAAATTCATTCACAACTTTTAGAGCTTGAGGAAAGATAAAGATGTTTATACCAATGAAACAAATAACCAAAAGTCGTATATTGAAGGCTAAGAAACAGACATCATCATGGTCAAAATAACAAAAAAGAAAATACAAACAACAGTCCATCAAACACTACACACAAAGTAAAAGTTAAGGATGTTTCCTCCTCTTGTTTTTGAATTTCTTCCAGATTTTCGGAATCCTCTGGTTTTATCCTTGAATTGCCATTAAAAAATTTTGCCCAATAACCTCTACTTTTCTTTTCATAATTTTATTACATATAGTTTAAAAAGCCATATTTGAAAATCTTATAAAATCCTTGTTATTTTTTTATAGTGTTTGAAACAAAAAAGCGGCCATTGTTAAAAGTATGAAAAGTCTAGAGAGAATCATTTCCCGCCAAATTTTCAATGGCTTTTATCTCGAAAACAAGCACACGGACCCTTAATTTTTTACTGCTTTTTTAGTTCTTTTATTTATATACTATCATTTTAGAACAGTCTTTTAAAAATCTTGTTATTTTGAAACAGAGTAACGAACATCCTTAAACAACACGAAACGCACCAAAAATCTGCATAAAGGAAAACTCGGGTACTCTGAAAGGGTACACATTCCCTGCTCCATTCGTGACATCTTACGATCATCACATGTAAAACCCGGCAAGTAGCCGGTAGGTATTCGAAGATATTCATAAGTGAGGAAAGGGCGGTTGGATTTTGGCTGATACAATGGAACATGTCAATGAATAGGATCCTTACTGTCAAAAATATGCAAGTCGAGATACCAAGCCAGCAAACTATATCTGTGCTATTAATTTGATAAAAATATGAATAAAAAGAGATTTGTGGTATTTGTCAATGAGACTGCAACCCAACGACACAACACATTAAAAGATCTCTAGAGATCAATTATTTCTGAACGACCAGACTAAATAGGAATATATTGTTGTATTAAAGAACTAATTCATTAAATTAAAACCAAACTTATATTATTGTTTTTTTAAATACACATATGCACATTCACGGTTCTACAATCGGTCGATACCTGTATTTTGGCATTGCACAAGGTCGTGTTTTTCTCTGACTTTTAATGACATCTTTATGCTAAATTTAAATTCATTGGATCTTGGTTGTGTACTGATTGATACTTTTGTCTTAGATACATGATTTTTTTTAAATTGGCTTTGAATTAGCTGTAAGTAAACGCGAGTGCTCTCAGATCTGTACTTGTAGTGTCTTTTTTGTTGTGGGAATGTATAAAGACCCTGCCACGTCCGGTCTGTGTTTTTTGTACTTGTTTGTCTGCATTGTATCGATTTGTTGAGTTAAGCCCTTTTCAACTGATTTTTATAGTTTATTCATAGGTTGTGCTGTTACACCACTGTCCCAGTTTAGGGGAGAGTTGGGCGTCCGCAAACATGTTTAACCCTGCCACATTCTGTATGTGGCTATCCCAAGTCAGGAGTCTGTAATTCAGTAGTTGTCGTTTGTTGCTGTATATCATCAAGGACGTCTTTGATATCATATTTGTTTTTCGTTCATTGTTTTTTACATAAATCATGTCGTTAGTTTTCTAGTTTGAATTGTTTTACATTTGTCAATCCGGGGCCTTTTATAGCTGGCTACATATATGCGGTATGGGTTTTGCTCATTGTTGACGGCCGTACGGTTACCTATAGTTGTTAACTTCTTTGCCATTTGGGCTCTGGTGGAGATTTGTCTCATTGGCAATCATTCCACATCTTCTTATTTTTATATAATCATATACTTTGTAAAAAGCACTATGATTCGAACAAAAAGTTCTCTAACACAGTACAGTCATCATCAGATAAAGGTGTTTGGTGTTTTAATTGACGACATATGTATTACCGTTGTTGGGCGTGTTTGTTCTCAACACACAGTTGGTTTTCATCTGAGAATAAATTGTGCTCATAATTTCTTTTCGAATGAGGAGGTTTCATACAGGAGTTTCTCTAGAGGAAACAAAAGCTGTATGTGGGGTAATTGTGAAGTACAATATCGTATACTATTGCATGCATATGAGGAGAGGGTAGATTTGATTGTATTTACTCTTGAAACCTTTTAACATCATTAATATGTTATCTGAATAACACCGCCCAGCCAAAGAGTTTGTAGGTTTCCTGTAACTCTAAAACCAGTGTTGACTGTTGATAATCCTGTTTTATATATTACTGCAGTTTCACAGTGATAGCTTTTTTGTATTGTGTTTTCTTTAAAGACATGTTGTTTGGATAGACAAAATCCGCATGTAAACCTGGTTTAACCCCACACATGTTGTGTCGGTACCTATTTGTTTTCTTCAGTGCGTGTACCTCTTTTGTTCTAATATTTGTGTGGTCTTCTGTGCTGTCTAATATGTTTGGTAATTACTGCTATCCTTTTTATGCATTATAGGAAAGATGTCAATATATATATCCTAACATCACTGAAGAGACATTAATTATCGAAATCCGGATATGGTGTACAAAAATCTTTGCACCTTTGTTTGCGGTATACCATCTTTGCCGTAAGTTTATTGTTTTCTGTTTGGTATTAAATTTTTGATTAAGATCCATTTATTACACCTTGTGATCCGTTTATTTGGCAATCGCTTATGGCAGTCAGCAGGGTTTAAGAACATTTGATGTTCGACCTGTTAGTCAAATGCATTTTGTTAAAATATACTTTTTCACTTTTTTGGTCTTTTGGAAAATGTTGTTTGTGCTGTATTTAGACCCCTCTAACAAGAAATTTGTTTTTGCATGCACACGTATAAAAAATCATAGGTTTGAACGTTGTTTTCAATTTAGACTTGTTTATATATATGTATATATATATATATATATATATATATATATATATATATATATATATATATATAAACAAGTCTAAATTGAGAACAATGGTTTGAACGTTGTTTTCAATTTAGACTTGTTTATATATATATATATATATATATAACGTTGTTTTCAATTTAGACTTGTTTAATATATATATATATAAACAAGTCTAAATTGAAAACAACGTTCAAACCTATGATTGCATTGGATAAAAACCGCAATTTTTATACGTGTGCATGCAAAACAAATTTCTTGTTAGAGGGGTCTAAATACAGCACAAACAACATTTTCCAAAAGACCAAAAAAGTGAAAAGGTATATTTAAAAAAAAAAACGCATTTGACTAGCAGGTCGAACAACTGATGTTCTTAAACCCTGCTGACTGCCATTGGCGATTGACAAATAAACGGATCACCGATGTAATAAATGGATTTTAATTATAAATTTAATACTAAACAGAAAACAATCAACTTGCGGAAAAGATG